TCAACCGACTAGACAAAATGTGCTGCCAACTGGAGGACAAATCGTGAACCTTTCGGGGCGGAGTCAAAAATATCGATTATTTTCGTTATTTTCCTCAGAGTAATGTAATAATATAGCCCCGGGTTTCTGCGAACTTTAATAATGATCAGCTGATTAAGAAATTTCAACGAAACTTTTATTTTATTGTAAATTGTGGATTATTTTTGCCTGTTATTTTAAGAATTCTAAACCGTATTAACAAAGAAATTATTATTTCGATATGTTGGTACATTATTTATAATTTATTATGATAATGCTAATTGTTGTTAATTAATATTTAAAAAAAAAAGTTACATACCTATTTTAATTTGATTTAATGCATGTTTATAAAAGAATAATTTCATTCTTAGATTATTTTATTCTAAATTGAGTGCTTACGAATTTTACGATATTTTTTTTTTGAAAACATAAAACTTTTTACATTTTTGATGCGAACTAATTGGCATGGTATTATTGGTATGGGAATTAACCAAGAAAGAAAAGAATTGGCTATAACTTGTAATTGTTCGAAAGAAAACATATTATACCTATATCGGTGAAAAGCTTAAAGAATGGCGTTTTTTATGAAGTCATGGCCAACTAGGATTTTCATTTAAAAAAAAACATAATGTCTGTGAAAAAAAACAGAAAACACAAACTCATTAGGTATGTGATTATCTACAATTTTTATCTGAAAACTTTTTGTCTAAAATACCATATGATCGAATAAAAACGGCGTCAGCGTTGGCTATGAAATGACGATCGATGATATTTCCCATATAATTTTCATATAGAATGACAACGACCTTCATTTCATAGCCATCGTTGACTCCGTTTTTATTCGATCATACGGTAGATTATAATGGAATTAGAGACAATTTTTAAAATAGCCAAAATTTGTGTTTTTCGAAATATCTAGTAAGCCTTGAACTTCTCCGAAAAACCGAAAGGCGCATATTTACGCATATTTATGACCCCACAAAACTGCAATTCTTTCCCCATTTAACCGACTCTCTATCTCCAGTAGTTTCCGAGATACCCATAGATAACATCGTAGTATCATCCTGTATAGTATTTAGAAACTAACTATTATTTTTATTTGACTAGATTAATGTGATTAATAAGACTCGATTAATTTAATTTAAAATAAATTTGATCAGATTTTTTTTTCGTATATTCTACTACCAGAAAATCAAAATTATATGATAACGCACTTTTCAACGAAGTTGAAGGAATATATTATAGCGTATCTATCACAATACTTAATAGAATTACTACAATTAGAAGAAAAACAAAAAGAAAAAATACCCAAATACCTTCACCTACTACTCATCTACAAAATAAACGAATATATCTCTTATAAAAACACTACACAACTACTTCTTGTATTTTACACTGAAAAAATTATAAACTTACTAATTAACCAAACAAAAAGAAAAAATAACCAAATTATCCCTTCACCTACTACTTAACTACAAAATAAATAAACTATAAAAACACTACTAAACTATTTCTGGTATTCTACACTAAACATTATAATTAAACTTAATAAAATTAAACTAATTTTACACTACAACCACAACAACTATAAAGAAATAAGAACATTTTTTAAAACTAGAAGAAACAGAACTTCGATACGCGCGACCAGTATAATAGATCAAGAGGACAAAGAATATAAAATACTCTTAAAATGTGCATTCAGAAAGAAAAAACATCTCGAAAATTATCTAAACAAACATTTTTTTTTCTTATCAGTGAAAAGCATCGGCCTCGTCGGCCTTGCGGAATTTGTCCGGTATTTACAATGTGGTCGAATTGTATAATTACCAGCTTTTATAGCATATCTAATAGACAAAAAGTATCTGGTCGATTAGTAACCAATTGGCACAGTCCGAAAATTATCGATTTTTATTTTCTCTGTTTTTATTGGTAGCTTCAAAATTCAGAGTAACAAAAAATATTTTTCTGTCGGGAAACCGGTCCTGCCATCTAGTAGTCTTAGTCCATAAACGTCTTAGGTTGATCTACTTTAAAAATATATATACAAGGCTAATAGTAATAATAAATTAGGTAGGTAATAATTTATTAAATGTGATTAATAAAATTGTGTTTATCTCATCAAGGAGGCCGAATTCGACAAAATATCAAGAGATAACTTTTAATTGGCATTAAACGGCCTACACGATTTTGATATCAATAGAAAAAAAAGTCAGTGGCGTACATGCCATTTTTACAAAAATATTCCAGTGAACATTAAAATATGTCGCATTTATAGTAACTTTTACCCTCAAAATTTCATTCGAAACGCTAAAACTACTTGGAAGAAAATTATAATAAAACGAAAAGACATTAAAACTTTAACACCCTGTAGCTACGAAACAAAGCAGAATCGGACCTATGTTGGTATGAAAAATATATTTTATTTTTATGTGAGGGATTCACCCACGAGAGATGGGACATGTTTTTTGAAACACCCTGTATATGGTTGAGAAATAGTGGCATTACTACGTGATGCATTTTTAAAAAGGTAAAAAAACCTTTTAGACAAATACGTTTAAATTTACATATACCGCGGCCTCCCCATAAGAGCAATGAGCGAATTTATGTCCCAGAATTGAAGGACAGAAGATCGAGTTTGACATAAGTCCATCCTTGTTCAGTAGCTGGATGTAATGCACATGCGCCGAAATGCTACTTTTCTATTGGCCGAATGGTGTCGAGATGGGTTATCGATTTATTTTTGGACGCGTCGTCGGCGTTTTGTTTTCAGTTTGGACTTGGGCAGTCGCCATTAGTGTTTTCTCTAACTTTCTGTGTTTTCCACGTGTACTGTGTTTTCGTTTGTATTTTAATCTTTGTGCGTTTATTGACAATTTTGTGATTTAGTTTTAAAGACTTTTGCTGTAGTTTAATTAATAGAACAATGCGAATGGGCTACTGCTTTTTGTGTGGTAGAAGCCAACTAACCAAATTAATAATAGAAATTTTTCTCGATGTTCGTTTGTATCATGAAAGCAAAATCAGAAATAAAAGGGATGTTAATATAAGACAAAAATATACGAAACTAATTTTATTCAAAAATCAATAATTGTTAAAAGCATTATATTTAGTCTTACTATTTTAAAATAAAAAAGACATTATAATGTAAAGACTAAAAATAGAGACTACACAAGGCTAATTATAATTTATAATGCTTACACAGTTACACACAGACTGTCTTATTGTAAATTATTATTGTTTTTTTTTTCATAATATAAAAGAGTATTTACAATGCAACAATGTAAATAATTATATTTTTTGTATCTAGCTTGATTTATGTATAAACTTAATATGTACGTTATACCGTATGATCGAAAAAAAACGGCGTCCAGCTTGGAAATGACGATCGATGACATTTCCCCTATAATTTTACATATTAAATGACAGCGATCTTCATTTCATAGCCATCGTTGACGCCGTTTTTATTCGATCATACGGTATTTGTTTAATAAAAAATATGTTAATAATAATGAATTACTTTTGTTTCATTTTAAACCAGGACTGATGTTGATTATTGATCATAAATACCATGGGCAGTAAAAGAAACAATAGACAGTAAAAAATGTACTGTTATACTTTGTTTTGCTGCAATTTTTAAGTCGAGTGAAATAGATATGCAATTTGTAATACTAAGTTCTTAAGACAGTTCCTTAATTGAGGTTTTACTAAATTATTTTTTGAATTTTAAAAAAAGTGAAATAGATATGCAATTTGTACTACGAAGTTTTTAAGACAATTTCTTAATAATTGTGGTTTTACTAAATTATTTTTTGAATTTAAAAAAAAAATATCGTACCTGTCACTTTTTTTCATTCGTTTTATTTAATAATAATTGTCTAACACAACAAAGTCTACTTAGAACGATATGATATAAATATAAATGAGTTCATTAAAAAATGGTCTGATTAAAATTAGTACCTAAATAAGCAAAAATTATCCCCTCATAAAACAAGAAATTAAGGAGTTCAGTAAAAGGATTGCAACTATATATTTTATTCAGTAAATTTTCATAATAGTAAGTATAAAAGCACAATCTCTAAAACGACAATATGAATAATGTATATTAAGATTTAACTCGAGTTTCAGTGAAAAAACTATATTGATATTAAAATATTTTAATACCTTCAGAATACTAATTACATACCATAAAATAGGAGTTTTTACGATGCGGGAAGCCTATCTAGAAAAAGAATTTTAGAAATCAGCAATGGGATTCTGTAAGCTCTGTAGCAAGAAATTTCCTATCGAGCCTATGCTATTTGTATACGATTGATGAGTCACTAGACAGGGAAATGTTTACAGAATCGCACTGCAGATACCTATACGCTACTAGGAGCCCCCCATTGTGAGACAGATATAAAATAATTTTTATATACCTATTCCATAGCCTATTCTTTTAAATGTCTGTAATATTTATAATAAACTTATTTTACGAGTAGAAGTATTGCACCAGCATCAAAATTAATACTACTTGTAAAAAACTGTTGCTCCTTGAGTTTGTAATAGATATAAACAAAATAAACATTCGAAAATAACTAAATCGAAGATATCTGAAAACTTTTGGTCGAAAAAGTGTTTTGCCATAACATGTTGGATACGATTAAAATATCTCGTTTGATAAATATGCGCATAATGTTACATTATCAAACTTATTTGATTTCAGAATATTTAACAAAAAGCTTCCAATTTTTCGAAAGATTTTAGAGAACGTCTTTAACCTCAACTTAAAATAAATAAAACCAAAACAAAACATATCATATATCATATGATTTGGAACTTCCAATCAAAGTGCTTACAGATCGAGCAAGCGCAGAAAACCTCCTCCCGAACAAGGATAGACTTATGTAGGAAATGCATTGACATTCTATAGCCATCCTTCAACATCGGGACAGGAATTTAAGCGGTACCCTCCGTATATTTTATTTGAACGTATTTGCTTTTAGACGACGCCTACCCAGGACTAGCAGAAAAAAGGACGAAACAGAGAATGAAGACAAAAAAACTGTAGAAACAGTAAGACAGGATTATAGACAACCCGAAAACACTACCAGCAGAAAAAAGGAAGAAACAGGTAGAGAGGGTGAGACCAAAATTGAAAATTGTAATCTCTGCAAAATGGCTTTGGGCAAGAAATACGTTAAATTACTGTGCGATGACAAATTTCATTTACCTTGTTTAAATAAATGGCTAGATGATGGGAACAAGTGTTGCCCAACTTGTAAATGTCAGAATATCTGAATGCCAGCTACCGTATGATTGAGTTGGCTTGCAAATGACGATCGACAACATTCCCCATATAATTTTACATACAAAATGACAGCGATCTTCATTTCCAAGCCATATCTGATGCGTTTTTTTTTTCGGTCACGTATACAGGGTGGCGCACCTCATTCGCCTCGGTTGATTATACGAAAACGGAAAGATTAAGAAACAAAATATTTTATGGGTATATGTAGGAAGGCAATATGCATAATTTTAAATTATTTTGAAATGTACAGGGTATGTCAGAACAGAACTAAGATCCATACCAAAGTTATCTTTTTTCTTATGGAACACCCGGTATTTTATTTCATTTTTGGATTCTTGGACCCAAAAAAGCTACAAGAAAATTGATTATCAACACCCCGTACATTACCTTTCAGAATTAATTCTTGTGCTGAGTTTAAAGGTAGAGAAATAAACTTTATTGAAAAATATGATTGTTTCCTTAAATTTATACAGGGGTACCAAAAATGACTACTGATCTATTTTAAGGATGCATTTTACATAAAAACTTCGTTATTTCAATTAAGCAAGCAATACCATTTTTCAGTAAAGGGTAATGGTGCGGATCCGGTGGCTGACCACTGCATATAGTCACAGACACTACGCATGCGCACATCTTCGATGTTGCCAGATTGTAAGTTATTTTGGAATTATTTTCAGTGGAAAACAAATATGTGCTTTTCAGTGTTTTTTGTCAATATATACCGTATGATCGAAAAAACGGCGTCCAGTTGGCTGGGAAATGACGATTGAGGACATTTCCCATATAAAATGACAGCGATCTTCATTTCATAGTCATCGTTGACGCTATTTTTTTTTCAATCATAGTACGCGGTATATTATTTTTATATCAAATTTATATTATTATTTTAATATTTCGCACAACACGTGAACGCTTATTATGTATTTTCATAGTCAATAAAATTAAATAGAAATAAAACTCTAGATTCCTATAATTAATCTAATTGCTCTAGGTTATTATTATGCTACGTTTAAAAGGGCTTTATTAAAAATTCGGGGAAATTATATGTCCAAGTTTTTCCTTTTTTTAATTTTAAATGCTGTAGCTCCATGTCATGTTCATAATAGGTTTTCTGCTACTTTAAGATTTCTCTATTCTTACACCTAATTTATGTGATTTTCTTAGCTATAATATGATTTATAAACCATATTTTTCCTAATGGAAGGATGGAATAGGATATGCAAAATTAAGATATTTTAACATTTATTTTCCAGACAAAGCATAAGATTAAGACATAATAAATATTATAAGAAAGATCTTAATATAAATCACAAACTAAGTCTTAATTTGGTCTTGTATAAACACAGGTATAAAACTAATAAGATCAAAACTCAACCTTCACCATATTGTCAAGATTTGGCATTATAGGAAACAAGAAATTGCAGTAAATTAAGAAAAGAATATCAAAGTACACGATATTAAATACTGTAATGTATTCTACGATACAAACCATCTCCCTTCTAAAGAGAAAAAGATAAAACATAAAGCTTATTTTAGTCTTATCAACACTCTTCGATAAAATATATGTCTAAAATTGCTATTAATCCACTAACTTGATATTTTTAAGAAATTATATGATACAAACATTACAATCAAAGTATATTATATTAGTAACATTATAGGTAAAATATGTTACCTCTATCTCCCATTGACGTGTATTGTTCTATAAGACTCGTCATGGTAATATTTCAAAACATCAATATACATAATATAATGAAAACTATTGTTGCCTGTAAATAACTAGAAATTAAATAACTTGAAAGAAATAAAATAATTCTAATAAGTTTAAAACCATTAGAAAAAATCCGTAAATGATAATTTTTAATTCTAATGTAAATATATAAATAAATGTTATTATTATTCAACCACTTCCATATCTCCCAGGTTATTATTACGTACAATTTTATATATTCATAATACTTTCATTTCACAATCTTCATTATCCTTCTTACCTTAATTTTGGATATCAAGATAAATCTGAAATTATAAAATTAATTATAGAATTTGTATTATTATTGATTAACACTCAAAAAAAAATTCAACTGCAAATAATTCGAAAATAAACTGCAATTTGGCAACATCGACGATGTGCGCTTGCGTAGTATCGATGATCAAATGCAGCAAATATGGCCTTCAAGGTCAGCCACCGGATCCACACCTTTACCCAGTAAAGTTTATTTCTCTACCTTTAAACTCAGCACAAGAATTATTTCTGAAAAGTAACGTACAGGGTGTTTATAATCTATTCTATTGTAGCATGCAAATTTAAATATCTCAAAAACCAAAGATTTTAAACATAGTTAGCCCTTTTAATAAATGCCTTTTTGGGTCCAAGAATCCAAAAATGAAATAAAATACCGGGTGTTCCATAAGAAAGAATATAACTTTGGTATGGATCTCTTAGTTCTGAAACATCCTGTACATTTCAAAATAATTTTAAATTGTGCACATTGCCTCCCGACATATACCCATTAAATATTTTGTTTCTACATCTTTCCGTTTTTTGTATAATCAACCGAGGCGAATGAGGTGCGTCACCCTGTATATTATATTGCAAATTGCAATGTTCTCATAAAGTATATTGTCTTTTGCAGTTTAAGTTAAAATAAAAAAAATAAAGTTCAAATGATTTAAGTATTAAGTCTTTGACTTAAATCAATATAACGTTATTTAAGTCGTTTTTATGACTTAAATCTATATTTTTGACTTAAATCATGGTGATCTGCAAGTTAAGTCAGTAAAATGACTTAAATCAATATCATTACTCTCAAGTCAAGACAATCAGAATTCAGTTTATGTACCTTTTTTAAATGTTAATATTAATTTATTGTTGGTACAGACACAGTTTAAAGAATATAAATATATACAATTGGCCCATTCTTTTTTTGACGGCATCTTGGTGAACATCTCAAAGCGCAACTTTGCCCCCAATTTAACCATGTTCGTATCTAGTACGGTTACCGAGATACCAACGCTCGTACCTCGAATTTGTAGCACCCTGTATATATCGATGGCATAAAAGTTTTCTGTGATCTTGAAGCTCCGTGCAGTATATAGTAAAAATCTAATTTTTTTATACTCAATACTTCTAAAGGATATTCAAGATATTTTAATTAATCATATACACTTTTTATTTTACTACTTATGTTATACATATATTTCTTTTTTTATTTTGATCACTTTCATTATATTATATTATCTATTTGTAGATAAAATCTGTTTAATTAAGTATTTTTATAAGTTTAGCTATGTAATAATAATGTAAAAGTTTTGTGGTTTTTTAAACTTTTTTAGGTATACTCTTTTTTATTATATTAAGAAAATAAAACAGTATTAACTAAAAATGTGTATTATTTTTTACTTAAAACTTGGAATAAAAGTTTTTAGCCAAGTAATGTTAGGAAATAGGCAACTAGTTAAACTGATCTGAAAATAATGACAACTGACAGTTATTTGCTGTCGTTCTGTGGTCGTTGTCCCCATTTTTTAAAGAAATATTTTGATTTTGCCTGAAAATGTTAAATAACTTGAAAATTATCAGATGGTAGCCCTGTCAAATTAAATTCCTGTGAAAAACCTGCCTCGAAATCTCTGTCTGCTTGGTCAAAAAATATAGAATATAGCAAATACAGTCCATATTGACGTAGAAACTCGACTAAATTTAGTGTAAGTTATATAATACGTTTTTATTGTATTAAATTGCGTTCTAAAATGTTTTCGTATTGTTTTAGTATAAAATCTAATCATGATTCAAGTAAAACTGATGCTGTTGGGACTGTCTGTACTGGTAGGTGCTGGTATAGCTATCTATACTTATTATCAAAGCAAAGAAGAACCACAGCAACACCGGAGATCGGACCAAAGATCGGACAGATCATGTCATGAACCTTATAATAATAATTCCATTGCCAGGTATTCTGCCTCAGTATTTTTATAGACCAACAGAAAAATATTGTTTGTTACAGACTACGTATAAAACAAAGCAGAGATGAAAAAAATGTTTGTTCAATCTGCCTGGACGACATGACGAACTTATTTACTACATTAAAATGTGGCCATAAGTTTCATGGGATATGTATAAAGGACTGGTTTAGTGCCTCGACTAGTTGCCCACTTTGTAGAGATGTGAATAAGTGAACTTAGCAATAACAATTCTTTGACTCATTTGATTTCTCGTATTAAGACATTCTTAATAAGGGATTTCATCTTTTATGTGTTTATGTAGGTTGATCTTTTTATATTTTATTCCTATTAAATGAGTTTGCAAATAAAATTATTAAATACATTTTATTTTGGTACTCAGTTTATGCTTTAAATTTGAATTAATATGAATTCTTATTCGTATTTAAGTTACATTAAACATGTAAAATGTAACAGTCATGTAATTTAAACAATATTGTAAGTTTAACTCAAAAAAATGTGCTTTTATGGGATTTTATATACTTTTTCAGTTTATATACTGGCATATTAAAATAGTTCAATTGAATAATTTATTTTATTAAATATTAACCATTGTGAACGGAGATATAGTTGGACAGAAAATACCACTTACTTGTAAATTAATACGTACAGACATATATCGTGGATCACTTCATTGGACAGACTATAATGTCTAAAATACTTGATTTGATAATAACTGTTAATCATATTTATTGGTGAAATAAAGTGACAGACAACTCTCATTTTCAGGGAACTTACCGTTGGATAAATTATATGTACCGTACGATCGAAAAAAAAAACGGCGTCAGCGATGACTATGAAACGAAGATCGCTGTCATTTAATATGGGAAATGTCATCGATCGTCATTTCCCAGCCAACTGGACCCCGTTTTTTTTTCGATCATACGGCACATAGGCGTAGTTTTTTGTTGATATATTCACCCCTATACCTAACTCCACATTTTGTACAGTTTTCCCTGGATTGTCTTTACAAGAGAAAAAAACTTTTATTTTGACATTTTAAGAAAAATACATTCTTCATAAAAAATTAGAATTTTTGTTTGTTCTAAAATGGTTAATCCCGTTTATAATTTTCCAAATTTTCATACCGTTTCAGAGAAAATTTAAAAAAAAACATGAAAATATAGTTGAATTTTTTTGATGTCCTAAAAATCAAAACGCGTTTCGCTTTCATTCTTTGACAGATTGTTATTCATATAATTTTAAATAACGTAATACACTCACCGACAAAAAAAACGGCCACTAAAAACTAGTCCCAATTTCAGAGTAGGATTTTTCGCGAACCATTCATTAGATTTTGATGATTTTTTTTAAATTTGTAAATTAATTCCTTCTTAACGGATGCTACATCAGTAATTTTTATTCCGAATTTAGCACCCGTTAAAAAGGAATTAATTTACAATTTAAAAGAAAAATCATCAAAATCTAATGAGTGGTTCGCGAGAAGTCCAGGTCTGAAATTGGGTCTAGTTTTTAGTGGCCGTTTTTTTTGCCGGTGAGTTTAGTTTTTCCTGTTTTAAGATGTTAAAGAAGTAGAAAATTTATTTAGTTCAATGATACAGTAAGGGTGATGACAATTATTGGAAAATATGATACTTTAACAGCCAAGAATATAACGTTAATCAAATTTAATAATAACCATCTATCAAAGAATGAAATCGAAATTATATCCATAGAAACGCGTTCTCATTTTAAAGGGCTTAGAAAAAATTCAACAATATTTAGAACAAGCAAATTTTTTTATGAAGAATGCATTTTTCTCAAAATATCAATAATAAAAAAGTTTTTCCTCTTATAAAGACAAAATCCAGGGGCATACTGTATAAAAGTTGATTCTCACTATACCTTCTGTTTCCATTCCATATCCTTTCCGTATTTTTGATTGTATTCACGCTATATGCATGCTTTCCGTTATTAACGTGTGTATAATGTTTAATTAAATAAAATGTTTAATTAAATAAAAAATAATGTAAATATATATGTTTTAAACGTGTATATACATATATACTGTGTGGTCGAAAAACAACGGCGTCCTGTTTATATGGAAATGACGATCGATGACATTCCCCATATAATTCTACATATAAAATGACATAAAAACTATATAAAATGACATCATACGGTATAATAATGAATCTAGCCAATCCCCTTCACACTTGCCTACGGATTCAATGAATAATGTAATTTTTAATATTTGTTACCTTCAATCATAAGAATATCCTGATTTTCCGCAAAAAAAAATAAACAATTATTCTAGAAGCTTTGTGTTATTTTATATATTTATTTTTAAATTTTTATTAATTACTCACTGAAACTATTATTATACACCTAAACTAGCAAATTTTTTGAAAGGATATTTAAAAAAATATGCCGTCTCTAATAGAACAGCCTAGAAGCGGGATTTATGACGTCACGCTAGTTAGATACTATGGATTAATAAATATGGGTTAGAATACATGGAAAACATAACTATTCCTCGTATTTTTGGTTTGTATTTTAAAATCAATGTTTGTTTTTTAAATACAAACCAAAAATAAATAAATAAATGCCTTTATTGTCAAAAAATTTTTCAATTTGTAGACAAAGGTAAACTAACAAACAAAGGAAAAAAACAAGGTACACAAACAAACAAACAAAAGATAATACAAAACATTATACAAATAATATTGTCAGTCTTATTGTTAAAATAAACATTTATAAATGTTTATAATGTCAAAAAACAAAAAAAATAAAAATAATATTAAAAATAATATAATACGAGGTATAATTATGTTTTCCATGTATACTACAACATATTTATTAATCCGTAGTATCTAACTAGAGTGACGTCATAAATCTCGCTCCGAGGCTGTTCTATTAGAGACGGCATTGCGTCAGCATGGCCGCAAGTTGCCTAACCTAATAAAATAAACACTAAAAAAGCCCGCGGGAACTGTCAAATTCAAAGTTATTCATTTCACAGACTATAACAAGTAGCCCACCACAAGTTTGTCCCCCCCAGCAAATCTTGGCAGGTAAAGTTTTATGTCACAACTATACATATAGATACATATTTGATAACAATACTTTATACATTTTTTTACATGTAAAATATATAAACAAATGTTTATTGCCGAAATTGTATTTCTCTGATTATAATACCCTACGCCACTGGAGAAATCCTGTCTGAGTAGCATTATTTATAGTTTCAAACATTAATTATACTATAGGATATTGAAAATGCTACTTGGAATTAATAAAAATAGTTTGCTTTGGATGTGGTACAAGACATATTAAAAGCATTTTACATATTTTTACTGCTATAATGAAAAAAATCTACATTTTATGACTACATAGCACAAGTTGTGTATCAACTTTTACCTGTAAAATGTAATTCCAGTCATTTTTTTCTCGCTTCAGCCTTTGCAGCCATACGCGGAACATCTCACCCTACTAAACAACACAGTTTATAAATTTAAAACAAAACAGTATTCACAAAAAACATAAAAATTCGCTTGGCGTCACCTCGAAATCTTGTCACCAAAGTATGGCCGTCGATCAAATTTTGGCCTCAAAAAATTTTCACTGGAGAATATGCGTCTTAGCTGTCCCCTCTCTTTCCTTGTCTAAGATTTACACGATATAATATTTTATGTAAACGGAAGGTATAGTGAGAATCAACCTTAAAGAGGATTTATTTAATTTTCCAGATTTTCGTAAACAAGCTGCAATAAAAAGCCTCTACAGAAAAAATAAATTTATTCATAAAAAAAGTGAAAACAAAAGGCAATACTTTCTCTTTAATATTATAACTTACAATAAGAAATATCTTAACATTAAAAACATACTCTGTTTTGACTAGTAAAGCTTATTTTTTTAAGTCTAATTTTACACAACGTAAAATATGCATATCTTTGCACGATTCCACATTTTATATAATATGTATATCTCTTTTTATCTAGTTTAGTTTTGCTTCGCGCTTTCCCGGGAAAGCGGGAAATAATAGTAACAACAAAGAAAAAATCAACAGTCAACAATTCCTCTTCGCGTCGCAGTTTCGGTAAAAATGTGGGAGTTTCGCCAGAAAGGTCAATATACAGGGTGTTCCTTAACGACAAGCTAATATTTAAAGGGAGCGATTCTTAGAAAGACCTATTCTAAGAAAAAAAAATCATCATATCAATGTTTGTTTGTTGAGTCATATCAATGGTGAGTTTTGTTGATGTAAATAATAACTCTTTATACAGGGTGGTCCGAACTGTATTCCGGTTCGTATAAATAATATATTATACAGGGTGTCCCAGAAATAAGTGCAAATATTTTAACTGGTAGTATAGTTCAACCCCAGAAACACGCCTATGAGGTTTTTTTACAAAAAAAAAATGTTGAAAATTTAAAATTTTTCTTGACATTTCCCGGGAAATTTGAAAAAACTTTTTAGTGCCACTTGTTTATTCGCCTGAGATTTCCCTACGGTGTATTTAAACCTTGCAGTGTTGCAACCTCCTATGTTACCGACATTCTACATAGTTCGGCGGAACATAGTTCTACATTTATAAATTCATAGACAAATTCCTACTCAAAAAATTAGGAATGGTAAATTTAATCTTTTATCAGTGCTCATTATTAATAATTATAGAGAAAAAAAACACATAAATTATTTTTAGTACTTACCCTTTCAATGAAAACTTAACAAAAACCACCGAAAATTAACTAAAACATTACGTTTATGACGTTTACGAAAATCTTTGTTATGCTGCAAAATAACTTTATTTTGGAATAAATTTAATAAAATGATTCATATTATTCACAATCAGGTCACAAAAAAGAAATTCCTAAAATGTTTATCGTAATTTAGAATTCAATTCAAGAAATTTAGAAAACAGCCCAACGAATAATCGATTCATTTTTGTTTTGTTTGTTTTCTTTCATGTTTCTCTGTTTTATTTGAACCACTGTTTTACAAAACACCTTGAAAAGCGCACATTACTTTGAATACCTTTCTGAATGAATAAATGTTGAGAATTATTGTCTCTTATCGCCACCTTACGAACTACTTTCAATCTAAGAAAATACATGTTTCACTCAACAATTTTAAATAGGTATTCTGTTTTTTCGCTATTTTTTCGATGTATTTCGACAATTCCATGGACAGCCTAACCGTCAGCCAAGAGCGCCGCGTGTGAACTGGTCCTTTGAGTCGCCGGTCGCCGCGCCGTCGTGGCGGGCTTGCGTCAGACGACGATGTTAAGCAACGTTGCCGTAGTTACAACAATTGCAAATTCAAGACATTCGAAGCAATCAAATTCGTATTAAATTTTAAAAATAAAACAGAGAAACATGAAAGGAAACAAACAACACAAAATGAATTCATTATTTGTCGGGCTGTTTTCGATGTATTGAATTCTGAATTACGATAAACATTTTCGAAATTTCTTTTTTGTGACCTTATCAATAACCAATTCATTTGTGTTTTGTTTGTTTCCTTTCATGTTTTTCTGTTTTATTTTTAAAATTTAATAAGAATTTGATTTCTTCGAGTGTCTTGAATTTGAAATTGTTGAAACTACGGCAACCTCGCATGACGCAAGCTCGACACGGCGGCACGACAAAGGAGCAGTTACCAGTGATACGCGGGTCTCTTGGCCGACGCGACGGTTGAGCTGTTGATGGAATTGTCGAAAAACGCTATTCGCTAAAAAAATAGCGAAAAAACAAAATACGTATTTAAAATTGTTGAGTGAAACATGTATTTTCTTAGATTGAAAGTAGTTCGGAAAGTGGCGGTAAGAGACAATAATTCTCAACATTTATTCATTCACAAAGGTATTCAAAGTAATGTGTGCTTTTCAAGGTGTTTTGTAAATCAGTGGTTTAAATTGTGATGAGGCCTATATGAAAATAATGTGTTAAAAATGGGGACTGTTATTTTAGTAGTTATTATAATAGCATGTACAAGTAAAGCAGCACAGTGAAGTGTATTTTAGTTAAGTGTATATCGAAAAAGAGAACTGTCACAGTTACATCGATCTGTCATAAGTATCTTTTGTAATGTTGGGTAAGTTTTTTAATTTAACTTTTTACATACACTTTCTTGTCCCTATGGCAACACAGTGCGTCGAATTAACTGAAATCCGGGCTTGATCCGGGTAATTGGATGTAGTTGGCGATATCTGCCGGCGGTTCTCAAAATGTTGCGATTATTTTGTTAAATTTTCAAAGTTAAATAACTCCGTTATTTTCAATTTATTTTAAAAATGGTATAGAGAAAATATGTTTATTTTGACCAGATCTACCACCCCTTAAAATATCTGCACTCATTTCTGGGACACCCTGTATAAAGTTTTTTTTTCTTAGAATAAGTTCAAGAATCGTCCCCATAAATATTAGCATGTGATTAAGGAACGCCCTATTAAAAATAGTATATAATTTAATTACAACTGAATACAGACTATTCTATTGTAATTAAATTATACATAGAGAGAGACGAGATAAAATTTCAACCTACCTATTTATACACAGGGTGGCGTTTTTCTTTTAACGCACGCAGTAAAAAATCACAAATCGAAACAGACAACCAAGATCTGCGAGGTACAAACATAGAGTAACTGAAATGTTAGGTGAGTTTGTCTGAAAAGAAAAAGCAGTATGACAAAATTGTAGGGTCCTAACCTCTTCGTCGAAAAAAATTATCGAAATTTAGGAATAAAACTGTAGTTTTCAAGTGCATGTGCAACTTCAGGGCTTATAACTTAATGTAAAACGATTACTTGTTGTCTTGTTCTTCATGTTTTCTTTAAATGTTCCTGACTTTAAGAAACAATGAAATGGTCCTAAAAAGTCATTCTATTTAGTGAATGAAATGTGTTTACCTTTACTGCCTACCTCCATTGCTTTTGGATGTAAATACAAAATATTATTACAAATTTTAGAAATTAAATGACAATTTCACAGTAACTTCCAATATTTGCTTGATTTCTGTCACATAAATGACACTGATTGACAAACAAAACCAGAAAAACCAGTCGTCAATTTTTCAGGAACCGTGTTCCGTAATAAGAAAACTTTCAGAAAACCGATAGAAACGGAACATAAAACCATAACCAAGGTAAGCAACGGAATACACCCTTAGATTGACTAATTCACAACATTATAAAAAAATAACAAAAAAAAGCTTTTTACTCGTGAAAAACTACAGTTTTACTCGAAAAAAAAATCCCAATTTACCCGTCATCGTCTACTACTCGAAGAAAAACGAATACAATTTTTAAGTATATCGTCGTGAAAAAAAACTTCTCCCCTATTATCACAAATTGATAGTGTCCAGGTCCTGTATGGGCGCCCTGCCGCCGCCGCCGCTGCTGCTGCCGCCGTCTTGCGAGTTGGACGCGGCCGAGTTAGGCGGGGGGTTCCTGTTGGACTCCTTGGTCGAGTTGTTGGACATGTTTAGCTTGTTAATGATGTTGGGAATGGTGAACTCCGAGTTGGGCAGCTTGCGCATGATCTTGCCCGAGGTGATGAGGCGGCCGAAGCCTTCCTGGTGGGCGAAGGCGTAGCCCGATCGGATGGAACGTCGCGCTCGCCTGGCGGAGGGCGTTCGCAGCACGTCCTGGCTCTGTCTCGACCGCACCTGTCGAAGAAATTGAGGTTAGAACCCGTTAGACGCGAAGAAAGTATTGATAAAAGATGTCTTGTTGAAACTATATAAAAGAACTCCTTTATTGGAACTTTATAAAAAATATTTTTTGTTGGAACTTTATATAACTGCTCTTTTTGTTGGAACTTTATAAAAAACCTTTTTTGTAAATTTATAGAAGTTACTGTATTAAAATTCCTTGCTGGAACTTTATAATCTCTCTTTTTGAGCTTTATGAAAAAACATTTTCGTTGGAAACTTATAAAAATTCTTTAAAAAAATACTTTATATAAAATACTTTTTTGTTGGAACTTTATAAAACCCCTTTTTGTCAGAAAATTATAAAAATTACTGTATTAAAACTTCTTGTTGAAACTTTATATAAGTTTTCTTTTTTTAAACTTTATAAAAAACATTTTCGTTGGAAATTTATAAAAATTCTTTAAAAAATACTTTTTTGTTGGAACTTTATAAAAATGTTTTTCTGTTGGAACTTAATATAGAAAGCTTTTTTGTAGGAATTTTATAAAACCCCTTTTTTGTCGGAAATTTATAAAAGTTACTGTATTAAAATTCTTTGTTGGAACTTTATAAATTATCTTTTTTAGCTTTATAAATAAATATTTTCGTTGGAAATTTATAAATCTTCTTTAAAGAAATACTTTTTTGTTGGAAGTTCATAAAAATGCTTTTTTTTGTTGGAAATATACAGGAAACTTTTCTGTTGGAACTTTATAAAATTCCCATTTGATTGAAACTTTATAAAAATCTCTTCTTTGGTTGGAACTTTATAAAACCCCTTTTTTGTCGGAAATTTATAAAAGTTACTGTATTAAAATACTTTGTTGGAGCTTTATAAGTTTTCTCTTTTAGCTTTATAAAAAAACATTTTCGTTGGAAATTTATAAAAATTCTTTAAATAAATACTTTTTTGTTGGAACTTTATAAAATGCTTTTTGTGGGAACTTTATAAAATTCAAATTTTGATTGAAACTTTATAAAACCCCTTTTTGTCGGAAATTTATAAAAGTTACTGTATTAAAATTCCTTGTTGGAACTTTATAAGCTCTCTTTTTTTAGTTTTATAAAAAAAAATTTCGTTGGAAATTTATAAAAATTCTTTAAAAAAATACTTATAAAAATGCTTTTTTTCGTTGGAACTTAATGCAGAAAACTTTTCTGTTGGAACTTTATAAAAAAAACTTTTTTCAAACATTATAAACATTCTTTTTTGTTGGAACTTTAGAAAATCCCTTTTGTTCACACTGTATAAAAGTTACTTTTAATGGAATTTTATAAAACTCACTTTTGATGGAACTTTATAAAAACTGTTTTTGTTGGAACTTTATAAACACCCCATTTTGTTTGAACATTATAAAAATTCTATTTTTTTGTTGGAACTTTAGAAAATCCCTTTTGTTGAAACTTTATATCTCTTTTGATGGAACTTCATAAGAAACTGTTTTTGTTAGAAACTAATTAACATTCCTGTATTAAAATTCCAAGTTGGAACTTTATAAAAACCCCTCTTGTTGAAACTTTATAACATTTTCTTTTGCCGAGACCCAAACTTTCCATTTTGTTGGATCTGTATAAAAATTATATTTCTTGAAACTTTAAAAAAAACCTTTTTTGATGGAACGTTAATATTTTTTGTTGAAACTTTGTAAAACTCTCTTTTGTTGGACCTTCATAAAAAAATTGTTGGAACTTTATAAAAATCTCTTTTTCTCTTTTACCTGCGCTAGCCTCTGCTTGAGTCTGACCCGGTCGGACAAAGTAGGAAACACATCTACGAAGTAGAACCTGTAAGCTAGAACGGGCAAGATACAAGCGGTGACAACCAATACGGTGGTGAACCAGAAATTCGCGCCTGCCATGGCCTTGGTCAGCGAGCCCACGTAGGGACCCTTGCACAGGTAGTTGTAAAAATTGTCCGCTATAAAATAGAACGCCAGAGAACCCCAAATCATCACGTGGTTACATACGGTCCAATATTGCGTGTCCATGGCGATCTGTAATGGAAAGAACATCAGATAAAGGAAGATAATTCGTGGATAATTCATAAATACCTGTGCTGTGTTCACTATGACAAGTATGGCAGCGGTCACGCTACAGAACAGCATATAATCAGAGAGTCCTTGGCCCCTTGGAGATACAGCATCGTAATATGTACCTAAAAAATATATAATGTACAATTTAATGTACAGAAGCGTTTAAAATGCCTGAAAACATCGAAGATTGAAGAGTGATCATCTAAAACCTTTTAAATTATGATGAAACACCCTGTATATATAAAAAAAATGTCAATAACTTACCAAAAGCTGTAAAAAACAGTATTATAGAGACGAAACAGCCTTGCAAGGCGCTGCGAAAGAACTCCTTTTTGTTGAAGAACAAATTCAGATGGCCCGGTTTGTAAAGTTGGGGATATAAGACGGAATTTTTGTCGTTGACGTCTTGATCGAAGATTCCCACCGCCAAAACCGGCAACGACGTGTAGAATAAATTGTAGACTGATATGTACATCGGGTCGAATACGGTCTGAAAAAGATAACGTGGTACATTTGAACTACTAGCCTGTGTTTTAAGCTTTGAATAAGAAGACTAAGGAAGGAGCATATCAAAAATCTTAGGTCCACCGCGATGGGCCTCAAATATGGCCGACATAAATTCCGGTTTATCAGTACCGTTCTAATTTTATTTAAAAAATGTAAAACTATGATGTAGGGTAGACGTGGGGTAGACTCAATATTTTTTTTTTATTTTACTTTGTGAATAAATGTTGGTAGTTATTCAAATTGTTATAAAAATGTAAAATTCTAATAAAAATAGATAAGTTATAATAATTATTTATAACCATAAACATCCGATACGCTACTGAAGCAGGTAAGTCAAATTGACGTATCTAAATTCTTTGACATCTAATCTTTGACAAGTAGTAAATAAAAGCAAAAATGCAAGAAAAAATATATAATTAGTTAATTTAAGTGAATTTCATAAATGATCGGTTTACTACACGTATGTATATTATATAGTCACTTACTAGTGAAAAGTTGATCCATTATTTCAGTCGATTTTTGCCGAGATCTACCGCACGCTACACAACCAACTATTTTAGAGTCTTTTTCGATAAATCGCGATAGTGTCACTGTTAATTTAAGTTCTACCACACAATTTCCATCTAGATTTACTACCTTTATACAACTATCAGTAGTAGAATAAATAATAAATAACATAAAATAAGCTCCGTAAAGACTGACAAATCCACAAAATTTCAAATCAAATTCAAATGTGTCAAATGAATCGTCAAACAGAACTGTCAGGGATCCCCACCCTAGAGTCCTTTTTCCGCCCACCATGCATGAATACATGGATAGCATTATGCTCCTTCCTTAGCCTTCTTATTCAAAGATCTTGCATAAGTCTATCCTTTTGGTTCAACAGGATTTTCGTGCGCGCGCACCAAATAAAACGATCTAATTCGTCTACTTCGTCGCTGAACGCTGTCACCTGCCCGCGCACTATTTTAAACTCTAAATATTAATAACTTATATTATTTTTTTATTGGTAATGGCATTATTTCAACCTGTTATTTTAGACATTCGTCATATTGTTTCTTGTTTTTATTAAAAAATGTCAGAGATTAGATTTAAATTTATAAGTAAAGGTGCGAATAGTCAGACGCTAAATTGATTTACGTGTTTAGATAGAAACTTAGAAAACTACTTCTATTGGTTAGTATGAAATAAATCAACTAATCGAGAAGCACTTCTCACGCTTGCGTAGTTCAAAGCTGTTGAACGAAAAGGACCGACTTATGTGGATTTTGTATAGCTCCATCTCAAAAATTTGGCTTCAATTTCTATTAATGACTAGAGATATAGTATAATATATAAGTATAGGTATTTTTTTCGGGGCCAAGTTAAAATATCTATTTGCATGACAGAAAATACAAATCTATATACCTGAGCGCTAAATCCGCAGAAGAACGCGTACCAGAAGTGACACAACGTAAAGGCGAAGTTCTTGTTGAAAAAGTAGCGCAGAAAACTGCACATCCTGTAGTACGACCAGCGTCCGTGGACCAATAGCAGGCGTTCCAAAAACCGAAACTGCGCGATGGAGTAGTCCGAAGCTAGGACAGCCTGCATACCCTCTTCTCCCGATATACCTACGCCTATGTGGGCAGCTAAAAATAGAAAAAATAAGGTTATGTACTAATTTAAAAATATGCTCAGGCGCGATTCTAAATCATTAGACCTTCGAAATCTAATAGGGATCCAATTCCTTCTAGTTCTTTGTAGTCATTAGTTCACTCGACTCGTGAAAACGCCGCATTTAATAAAAAAATTGTGTGCGCTATGAGCGCATATTTGAAGTGAAACAAACTTCTTACTAACAGCTATAAAATTGAAGGATATACAGAGAAGAGCAGGCTACTAGTATCATAGCAGGTTGCCGGACGAATTTACGTTTACCCGATTTGCGTTCGTACTAGAGATTCACTGCCGGCTAGTCGGCTGGTCAGGCAGTACGCAGTTGCAGTTGTGCTTGGACGGGTCGGTCGTGACAGACTAGGAATATGACGCGAGGAGTGCCGTGTATTTATTATTTTCATTTTAAGTGTTTACCTTCATTTAAGGTAACATTTAAAATAAAAATACTTAAATATTTATTATTTGAGTGTGTTTACAAGCCAAAATTAAAAATAAATAAATTCTCTAAACCCAAAAAAAAACTAAAATATTACTCTAAATAAAAAATGTTATTGGCTAACATATTAGGGCTAATAGTTTGGAAAGCCTGTCATATTTTTACTTGAAGCTCATCCAGATTATTAGCCCTATTATGACCATACACTTCAGATTTTACATAACCCCACAAAAAGAAATCATTGGGAGAAAGATCTGGTGATCTAGTGGGCCACAAAATAGTTCCATATCCACTAATTAAACGGTTGGGAAAAGTATTGTTCAAATATTCTTGAACAATACGGGCATTGTGGGCAGGGCAACCATCTTGTTGAAACCAGACATTGTGGAATCTTTCTCCCAATAACTCACGAATTCTAGGGACAATCTGCTGCTGTAACAAGTCCAAATACTTTGCAGTTAAATTACTCTTTATAAAAAATGGACCAATATTACAGTTGAGGGTTGGAACCTTTGGTGTTACACAGCAAAATAAAAACACTAAATCACCACAATGCACCAAAACACTTTTACTTTTACACTGGACGCGCGTTTCGCTAACCATGTTAGCATCATCAGCAGATGATTATAAACTAAAGTACAATCTACAAGTTGAGCGTTTATATACTCCCTCAGTAGGCACCGAGTGGGCGTGGCAAAATCTAGCCAACCGAGTCAGAGCCAACTGAGCGTAACAGTTAGATTTCCGACTCTGTTCATACTATCTTTACATTTATTAATTCTGATGCTTTCATATGCATCTAATTACCTGTAATTTGAGACTTGTTTAATTAATTTTAAATTATTGAGATCTATACAATGTTCATTATCAACAATATGTTCGGCAACGCAAGATTTATCCGGTCTACCATATCTTATCTGAGCTAAATGTTCTTTAAATCTAGTTAATATTGATCTTCTAGTTTGCCCAACATATTTCTGATTACAATCTTTACAAGAAATTTCATAAATACCCGACCTTTCCAGTGGAGGTGTTTTATCTTTTGGTAAAAAAAAGGTAAAGATTGTAATCACAAATATGTTGAGCAAACTAGAAGATCAATATTAACTAGATTTAAAGAACATTTAGCTCAGATAAGATATGGTAGACCGGATAAATCTTGCATTGCCAAACATATTGTTGATAATGAACATTGTATAGTTATAATTTAAAATTAATTAAACAAGTCTTAAATTACAGGCAATTAGATGCATATGAAAGCATCAGAATTAATAAATGTAAAGATAGTATGAACAGAGTCAACGGTCCAATTCCTTCAAGTTCTTTGTTCCTACTACTCTAGTGGCGGAAATCTAACTGTTACGCTCAGGTGGCTCTGACTCGGTTGGCTAGATTTTGCCACTCCCACTCGGTGCCCACTGAGAGAGTATATAAACGCTCAACTTGTAGGTTGTACTTTAGTTTATAATCATCTGCTGATGATGCTAACATGGTTAGCGAAACACGCGTCCAGTGTAAAAGTAAAAGTGTTTTGGTGTATAATGGACCAATCATATGCTCCCCTACAAAGCCACCCCAAACCCTTGCTTTAACTCCTGTTCTTCATTAATCAACACATCAGGCTTTTTGTGTTTTTGTGAGGACACGCACCCATGTGTTTCAAAATTATTAATAACTCTTGATATAGTAGGTAAAGCTGGAATTGGCCTGTTTACAAAAGTTTGTGGAAAAATTGTTTGTATATCCCGATAATACCTGTTTTGGAAATACCATTTTACAATTTACACTTTGAATGTTCTCAGGAACTTCGTAAACATCCATTATTTTACTTAAAAAATGAATTTTACACGAGAGCTGTAGCGAGAATCTATGTATTCGTTTTGGCTATTAAAACACGCTTGGCGCAGTCCTCTTTATAAATTTCGACTGCCGTAACGATTTAGAATCGTAACCCTGACGATGGAGCCACCTTTTATCATTGAAACGTCATTGGCTCCGTCTCCGATAGCTAATGTCACAGCGTGCTTGCTTTTTTTCACTAATTCTACCACCAAGGCCTTCTGAAGAGGTGTGACTCGGCAGCAAATCACAGATTTGCACTGCATGACCACGTCCAAGAATAGCCGTTCCATCTGGGGATGCAAACAGTGGACCAGGGAGTGGCCATTGACCACTATGGCGAAGCCAGCGTTCGACTCTTCGATGTGGGAATCTTCCACTCCGCCCAAATATTCCAGTTCCGTACTGAAAAAAGTTGTTTAAATAATATTAACAGGCGGTATTTAGGATAAAAATTTGGCACCCAAAAAAAAAAAGAAAATAGACATTGATTTTAATCAAAAAAAAAATAATTTCATAGTATACTAAAGGCTGGGAAAGGTTAGTTTTGGGTCGAGATTTCCGTATGTAAGAAGAGTACAATGCATTTATAATGTACTGAACAAAGAGAGAACAGTAAAAACGTTGCCAAACGTATGAAATAAACCGAGAAACTGTGCGCATCGCTAAGAGACGTGGAAGGGGATATAGCAGATTCATCGCGGTCAATACCCAATCGGTACTTATAAAATTATAAGGAAGAGTGTACATCATGCGTTCAGCTTCACGATTTAATTACGTTTCGTGATACTTTATTAGCTTATTTATTAACGAGTCGTTGTAATTTTTAGTATGGCTGGTACATTTTTAAGCGCAAGTTAGAAACGCTTGCCCTTTTGGTAAAAATAAGTGGAATTGAGTTGGTGTTTGACAGTGGTCGCGCTATTAGAACTCTGAATTCAAAAATCGATATCTCGAAATCCAATAGAAATAACTATTTTTGAATGAAAAAAAAAAGAAGCCTATCGCATTTTTCTCATTTAAGGTCTGTTCCCAGAAAGAATCACTGACTAGTCAGCACGTTTCTCATTGCTTAAAATGCATAGAAACCTGATTGTTAGTCTGGTTTCTACACATTTCAACCACTAAGAAACGCGCTGACTAATCAGGGATTCTTCTAGGAACAGGCCCATTAACATCTTGTAAAAGATCCGAACTTCAAAATAAAAAAAAAGAGTTTCAATATCTAAACTGGTTCTTGAGTTATCGCGTGTTATGTGTTAAAATGTTGATTTTTTAAATTATCGCGATTACTGACATTTTCTCGTTATAAAAAAAATAGACACCTCAACGATATCCTTATAATTCCATTTCAGATGCTCAGAAACATATCTAATGATTTTATCTAGTTATCTTTTCCAAAAATAAGCGGTTTGCGATCGTGATTTTTCTTTACTTGATAGGGAAAGGCCTACCGGAGAAATGTGGCAGCGCCGCAACAGCACACCGTTGCATTTCTCTCACTCCGACTTAATAAGATCCCTATGCGATTTACTTCCACACATGTAAATACCTACCCAAAAGTAACAGTTGCCAGCACGGTATACAGGGCGAGTCTTAAATAAGTACAAACATTTTAGGGGCAGTTAGGTCTTGACAGCCTTGAAATGACGATCGATGACATTTCCAATATAATTTTACATATAAAATGACAGCGATCTTCATTTCATAGCCATCGCTGACGCCGGTTTAATTTGGTATATTTAATTCGGTATCATACGGTATATTCCTACCCCAGAAACACGTTTATAAGTTTATTTTTTTTTAATTTTTAGTTAAAAAAAAACATAATACCTTCATAATATGGCAACATAGGTAGTAGATTAAATTTACAAGAAAGGAAACCCAGAAAAGATCCAATCGTTCTCAAAATTAAAGCGAAAAATCATTTTTTTAAATTTTAAAAGTAAAGTATATCGGTTATTTTGGATTTATTATTGGAAATGGTAGAGAAAAATGTTTCTTTAAAAGAGACCTTATTTAGGAGACGCCCTGTATAAATCAGACAAAAAAGTCTTATATGAAACTAGCCTATTTTCTTATTTGACTTTTTCTCGAAGCCCACATAGAAGCCCTAAGAAAGCTTATGCTACAGAATTAGAGAGCAGAGGTAGATTAATGTATAGGGTGTTTACGGTAAATAGACCCGTTAGCTCTAGTGGTTTCTCTATAAACTAAATTGCACTTGGTTAGTAACTTGTTGAAAATTTAGTCACGAATTAATCTCAGACAGAAGACGACTAACTATATCTCTTATAATTTAAAATGTATCTAGATAAATGTATATTGTGAGTCTATTTTTGTTAGTTGTTTTATGGGAGTGAAGTGTGTCTGTGTTTGTGAACAGAACCCAAACAAAACAACATATCTTACGTGATTTTTTCGCATATTTAGATGACCCGGAAAGTGTAAAAGACTGTCCGACTTGTCGTACGACATGATGTATCGTGTGGGGACCGCTTTAATGTTGTTAATGACAATTTGAAGTGTAAATTAGTGAATTTTTAGGTGTTTTATATAGGAGGAAATAGCAAATTAATCGTCTTCTATCTATCTACAACGACAGACACAAGTTCCGAGTCACGCTCAAAGAAATTGGGTTTAAATCAACCATAAAAACGTTGAATTAAAAAAATACCCGAAGCGACGATGAAGCTGCTCTATAGTAGATATAAACCCATTCTTATTTGATTTTCCTGAGCGACAAATATAGAAACACGACGAACGAACGAAGACAAGCGACCCTCGCGAGCTCTATCTACCTTGCTCTCTCCCCCTGCCGCCTGTTCTGACCGTCGCCCCACCTGAACGTGACCACGCTGACCGCCGGGCCGCGCTGGGTACCCTGTGCGGGGGCCACGCTTGTTCCGTTGGTGCCGCCGCCAACTCCGTTTTCCGCTCTGGCGCTGGACGCTGCTGCGACCGGACCTTGCGAGTCGGTGCTCGGCCTGTACGTGTTCACGATCTTAATGTTGCCGCGGAATTTCAGGAGTTGCTGCTGGACCTCGTCGAAGGAGGAGGCGTCCACGATGAAGAGGTCGGCGAGCTCGTCGGTCAGGAGCTGGCAGGAGTAGCCGATGTTGACGGCCGTTTCTGTCAAGGAGAGAAAAAAGAAGATTAAAATTATGGCAACGCCTCCTGTAACCAAATATATTATGAGACTATATTGCTAATACCGCATTTACATAATGAGTGGAAAATGAAGCCAAAGAAAAGAAATAGAAATATCAATCTTGCATAAGTCTATCTTTTTGGTTCAACAGGATTTTCGTGCGCACGCGCCATATAAAATAATCTGATTCGTCTACTTCAACGCTGAACGCTGTCACCTGGCCGCGCACTATTTTAAACTCTAAATATTAATAACTTATATTATTTTTTTTATTGGTAATGGCATTATTTCCATCAGTTATTTTAGATCTTCATCATATCTATCCGTTTCTTGTTTTTGTTTAAATATGTCAGAGATTAAATTTAAATTTATAAGTAAAGGCGCGAATAGTCAAACGCTAAATTGATTTATGTGGTAGATGGAAACTTAGAAAACTACTTCTATTGGTTAGTACGAAATAAATCAACTAACTGAGAAGCACTTCTTACGCCTGCGTAGTTCAAAGCTGTGAAGCGAAAAGACCAGCAGGGTATATATAAAAAAATACAATTAAAATGAATAGAATATCCCAAGGGCTTGACGTCGCCAAAAATTATCATCGATTCCCATTCCACAGTCGTTTTTATTTCGATAGTAATGTATATAAATATATATTAACACTATACCTTGTTTATCCCCTGTAAGTACCCAAATCTTGATCCCAGCCATGATCAAATTGGCTATGGTGTTTGGCACGCCATCTTGAAGCTTATCTTCTATGGCAGTAGCTCCAATCAGCATCATATCTCTTTCAATCTCCTCATAGATGGCGTCCAACTTTTCATCACGCCCCTCCAGAGCTATGGCGGCCTCTTGATGCCTCTGCTTCCAGTCATTAAAGAAATTCTCGTCCAGATCGCAGTAGGCCAGGCAGAGCGTTCTTAAACCTTCTCCAGGCAAATTTCTAATCAAATTAAAAATATATATAATTTAAAAAATATAACACATTTCACTCATCATATACCATGCTGGCAACTGTTACTTTTGGGTCGGTATTTACATGTGTGTAAGTAAATTGTATAGGGATCTTATTAAATCGAAGTGAGAGAAATGCGACGGTGTGCTGTTGCGGCGTTGCCACATTTCTCCAGAAGGCTGTCTCTATCAAGTAAAGTAAAATCACGATCGCAAACCGTTTATTTTTAAAAGACTTTTTTTTTGAAAAGATAACTAGATAAAATCATTAGATATGTTTCTGAGCATCTGAAATTGAATTATAAGGATATCGTTGGGGTGTCCATATTTTTTATAACGAGAAAACGTCAGTAATCGTTATTATTTTAAAAAATCAACTTTTTAACACGTAACACGCGATAACTCAAGAACCACTTTAGATATTGAAACTGTTTCTTTTTATTTTGAAGTTCGGAACTTTTACAAGATGAAATGAGAAAAATGCGATAGGCTTGTTTTTATTTTCATTCAAAAATTTTAAAAAATCCGTCCATTTGCTTTTAGTGCATAGCAATTTTCGGCAATCGTGTAACTTTTTTATTTGTAAAGATTTTCACTCAGACTGTGTGAAGAAAATATAGCAGAAATATTAAGAAAGTTTTTGAAAAAAGACTACAATCAATTATTTCTAATGGATTTCGAGATATCGATTTTTGAATTCAGAGTTCTAATAGCGCGACCACTGTCAAACACCAACTCAATTCCACTTATTTTTACCAATTGCTAGTGTTTCTAACTTGCACTTAAAAATTTACAAGCTATAGGGAAAATTACAACGACTGGTTAATAAATATACAAATAAAGTATCACGAGACGTAATTAAATCGTACATGATATACACCATTCTCTAGAATATTAAGTACTGATTGGGTCGACCGCGACGAATCTGCTATATCCCCTACCACGTCTCTTAGCACTATGCGCGGATTCTCGGTTTATTTCATACGTTTGGCAACGTTTTTACTGTTCTCTCTTTGTTCAGTACATTATAAACGCATTATACTCTTCTTACATACGGTAATCTCGATCCAAAACTAACCTTTACCAGCCCTTAGTATGTTAGTATAGATCAAACATACATTTAGATGATCCTGAGTCTTGGTCTTGACGTCATCCTGACCAGATTTAAGCCTCTCGTATATGACGTTATCCGCTCCTTTACAGTACAACGTCAATTTGCCGTCCTTCCTCAGGATAACCGACATCCTTTTCCTAATATTATTGAAGTCCAGGATGCACAGTAGTTCGTAGACTTCGTGAGTGCCCATAACCTGCGAAGTAGTTCAAATGTACCGATGGTTAAATTATTCGAAAAAAATAGGGTTATGGATTTTACCTCGATTGTAATACTGTTTGGCGTACGTTCTTTAAATACAAAACCGAAATTTCTCGCAGCGGATACCAGAGCGGCCTCGTCGGGCGACTGGGCTTGATATTCTAACTTTCCCTCGCGTTCCTGGTGAAATAAATCACAGATTTAGCACAAAAGAAAAGAAAAATGGTATAAAAGTAATATTTTAAAAATTTTAAAAAAAATCTTGTGATTATTATTATTACCTGTCCTACGCAAGACTCGTATGGGGACATGGAGCCTTTCTTAGGGAACTACAAAGAAAGGTCATAAGGATCATTGTAGGAATAGGATTTAAGAAAATTTGGTTTGCAGGAATTTCAAAAAATAAACAAAATATGTTCACCCGACCATTCGTTTTTATGTTAAATTTTGCTGTTTATTTATACCATACGATCGACAAAAAAAGACGTCAAAGACAGCTGAGGAATGACAATCGATGATTAATTTTGGCGAGGTCAAGACCTCTTCTCTATTTTTTAATGGAGCCTACTGCCATTTGGCTTTACGTGGCAACACTAGGTAACCATTTGTGCCCTACGCGACTAAGAAAATCACTATAATAAAGTTGATACTGTACCAACTCTGATTTCATGGTCTAGATAAAGCATCTAGCTCATTTGCCAGCTCAGAATTAGAATTTAGAGTTAGTAACTCGCATTTTCATTGGAGGACACCAATAATCAACGAGAATATTTGTACAATTTAATAAAATTACTGTAAATCACTATAAATAATGAATTTTTTGTAATTTAGGTGTAATTTCTGTATTATTAATCCGGTAAATGATGGAGATAAACAATTGTGATTGATTAAAATGTTATATTAAGATGAAACTTTTGTTAACAAAACTCTGAGAATTTGAATGACAAGTCAAGTGACATCTGTCTAAAAAAGACAGCGATTCAGAGTGACAATGAGCTCTTTCACAAAAAATAAAATACCCAATTCAAGGACAAAATCTGAAATAGAAGACGATTTTCAGTATATTTATCCAAAAAAAAAAATAGTTCCATGACATTGAATAATTTTTTATAAGCCCTCAAAATTGCTTTAATTTGAAATAATTTTAAAGTGCCAATTGATGACGTATGAAAAATACGCCCAATCACATTGCAGAACCGTTCTCGTGCACCAGCCAACAACTGGCAACATTGCGATTTGATTTGACCAGCACCACCTCAATTCAAGGGCAATCAACATGATATGGCCAAGGCAAATATGGCGGCGAAGGCAGCGCATTATTAAATTGTTTACCTTTAACCTGAAAAGCCGGTAGTGGCTTCTCGTTCCGATTGCATACCAGAAATAATTAATTATCTCTAGTTTGTTGTGCTTCTGCAACACGTTTGTTTAATTCTTAGTGTTCAGTGCATGGTGTGATCAGAAAATTGTGATAAAATAACAGTGTAATAAAAATCCAAACCAGACATTCCACATAGGGAACTTCAAACTTTTGTGCTTGTCGTACTCCTCTATTATTAATTATTTTAAGGTAAGAACTAGAAGTATTTATCAAGATATTACACCTAAATGAGTAAAAAGCCTTCGCCGCCAGTCTGCATAGTACTTTATAATGGTTACTTACAATAATCAAAAGATAGGTATTATAAGGTTAACATTTTATTGTAGCATGCCTTTTACATGCTCTGTTCCAAATTGTCACGGGAATTATAGAGGGGGTTTCTGCTTTTATACTCCCCAAAAATGACGACCTTCATAAAAAAATGGTTGACAGATATTAAAAGAGATAATTTCACTCCTACTAGTAGTTCTCGGGTAAGAAGTGCATTAAATATGCCTCAAAAAGGCCAAAGGCCAAAGCCTCTGTTACCCTAGTGAGGATGTAGTTATGGCTACTACACTTACACTTACCTCACTATAAGTAAAATATTGGAAGAAGAATCAAGCATCATTTTACATCAAAAAGATCACAGAAAGATATTGACAACATTGACATTTGAAAATATAAATGGCCTGGATGTAAGTCTTTTTTTAGGCCACAACTGCCCCTCGCATACGTCAGAATTTATTATTAAATCGATCTTGTTCAGAATATCCAATATTTTATTGAAGAACTATGCAAAAAAAAAGGAATGACGTCTTTACCATAAAAACAATGCCCTATGTAAAGAGAAAGAGTAAAGAAAACTAAGCTAAGCGTAACTTTTACTTACGAACCCCCAAAAGATATTTAGTTTTTTTTCTATATAAAATCTTGAAACGCATATTATATTTTTTATTTTTTCTCACCTATTATAGTTTAAATTTCTTCCCATTTGTGTAATGCTGCAAAACATAGAAAAAATATTCCATATTTTTTGACCCAAGCCAGTGTAGTTTATAATTCCAAGGGCATTTACCAAGGCTTTTACTAAGACAAGTAATTTCCTATACTATCCATAATAGTATATATTTATCAAACGTTCAGTAAATTCTAAACTATGGTAGGTAAGTGTTTGCAATTGAATATTTAGTTTATATTGCTATTTTCTGTCATATATTTCTGGTTATTTCTTTTTCTGATGATTTTGAACACCCTATATATGCTACCTCAAGTTTGAATATTTTAACACTGCCTATTTTCTGAGAAAGCAGAGCTTTTTATAAAAAGTAACTAGCTGATGTTTTCATAAAAGTAATAATACAAAAAACCCCATACTTATGTGGAGAACTTTAGACTCCCTGTATATTAAAAAATTAGTTAAATATTATGTAATCTAACCCGACATTTGCGTGAAAAATGTCTATTTGGAAATAAAACAGGTTTTAAAATACGCGCCAAATAAAGCACTTCTATCTCCGCCATATTCGAAAAGGTTGAATGGCCTTGTGTGGAGGTGGTGGTGGGTCAGCATGGTGGCCCGGCCGCGGCCGTGTTGCCGCTTTTCAACATGACAGGTGTGACGAATTAAAAATAAAGTGCGGATTTTTATTCTAGGCTTTTTTGTTTTTATTTATTTTCTTAAGAACTACTTCAAATTTTTCGAAAGTGAGATAGCAGAAAATTCAAGAATTAATTGCTTTATTCAATTATGTTAATTTCAAAATATAGTGAAAGAGCCCATTTTGATTATGCAAAAGAAGTACATATTCATTTAGTTTACTGGTTGCCTAACGATTAACTTTAATTTGCCTCGCCAAAATTATCATCGATTGTCATTTTCCAGCCTTCTTTGACGCCACTTTTTTTAGATCATATGCTACAAAAACCCACGGAATCTGTAAAAAAATACTAATTATACTCACTTCGGACATGACGGTGTGACACAGAGCCAGCAACCGGAAGAAAGAAAACGTTTCTTTTTCCCTTCTTCTAACCGCTTCAAGGAGGTTCTTATCGTAGAACCTAAACTCTGGCTCATAGTTCGGGTTGAAGGAGAAATCTAGGGGTTCTGTGTCGTCAGTAACTTCGATGACGTCACCCGTCCTCTGGTCGATGATGTCACCGTAACACTGGCCGCCTATCGAGCACTTGTTGAACGTCATGATGTTCTGCGTCAAGGTACCCGTTTTGTCCGAAAATATGTACTCGATTTGACCTAAAAAGGACAAAATTTCACCTTAAAATGACAACTTCAGATTTTCAAAGTGCATTTTTTCAATCGCTAATTGGAGTGGTCAGAATTAAAATGGATCAAGTCCAGTTTCCTATTATTTTAAGATAATCGTCTTTATAAGTTTACAATATGGTTTCTTCCAGTAGAAAAATGAATCAAGTCATACTTCACGCATTAAGCAGCTATAGCCTCTTTCTCTTTAGTTTCTGAAGATTCTGTTGATGCCTTTCACAAGTGAACTGGATCAAGTCCATAAAATTTAACGCTATGCACGATTTTAACACACGTGCTAAAGTTTAGAGCTAAAATTTTTTTTTTGATAAAATGGATGACAATGAAACAAAGTCTGAACCATTTGCACCAAGCGAATCAGATGATAATCTGAGCCATCTGAAGGGTCTGATTCTATCGATTCAGAAAGTATAGTTTGATTTATCATTACTTTCGCTATTACTACATCAAAAAGTTAGTCTGTTTTTCTTACAAATACTTAGATATCTGACACGTTGTTGATCTGAATAAAACTGCACAAGGAAGAAAATGCAACACATGAAAGATCTTCTTCCCTTTATCCCGCCTATATACCATAATTTTTATAAAAATCGAAGAAAACACTATTAATAGACAATGTGAAGTCAACAAATCCCTTAATGACGAAGAAGAATGTACCGATGAACCAATTTATATCGAAAATTTCAAATATTTTCAGAGATAAAACGGTCCAAGTCCAGAAAAGTATAAACAAACATTGGTTACTTTATTTTGCAATTATACAATTTAAAACAAAATAAAGCATTTTGTCAAGTTTTCTTCTCCAGCTTGTTTTATTTAAATTAATTTCTCATTTTCTCCATAATTATCTTCTAGGACTTGATCCAGTTCACTTCTGAACCCCTCAATTAGCTTTATTTTTATTAGAGATATTTGTTTTTAAAGAAAAAAAAATATAAATGGATATTACTGTACCTAGTTCTTCGTTTAACGTGGTGGTTCTGGCTTTGGCGTACGTATTGTACTTTTTGTAGTACATTTGTTCGTCCCAGTTGATCAGGAAACTCTGTACGAACCGTATCACTTCCACGGAGACGTACAGCGATATCGGTACCACCGTATTTAATACTATGGCGTACGAGAAAAACACCAGTAAAGCTGTAAAAAACAATTAATTATTATATACTAAATCATCATCACTAAACCAATGAACACTAGACAACAAACCAAAAATGTAATATACAATGTTTTTGGTTCTAACCATAGACAAACAAATAAAAAGAGACTGGGAAATTAAATGGCAAAGAGAGGGACAACGTTCCCGTAGCGCAACTCAGAACGCAAAATTTCGTTCTATTTATGTTGATCTGCGCATTGCGTCTATTGGGCCCACTATCTCATTCTAATATAACAAGAAAGAAAGAAGCAGCCATATAAAACGTAATTTCTAAATAGAAATTAGAACAATCGCCTTTCGTTTTCGTCATCATGACAACCAAGATGACAACATCATGACAATTCGTCGTGTTTGTTAATTTTTCTTTTGGCGATTTACCTTTTTTTCTAAACTCTCCATTTTATTGACTTATGAATATGGATAGGGAACAAATTCCTTTGTTCCATATAGGTATTTATATTTTGTTACTTATAATTTTAGGTTACACTATTTGTTATTTTATTTGCTGCAGGAGCCAGTATCATCTATTTTTTATATGTATTGGTGCCCCCTTTCTCTCATAGATATGTTAAAGACACCCGGTAAAATAAAAGTAAGTAGTTATATTTATCATCTTATTAAGAAAAAAGTAGAAGTAGTAGTGTCAAAAATATTTCGAACCTCTCTTAACATAACAAATTAATGCAATTAATTTTTTTTCATTTTTTGGGTAGTTTTATAGCTGGTTTATAGTAACCAGAAACTTTATTAATATACCTATTCTACTTTTGTTTTAGGATTAAAACTGGACTTGAAAATGGTTCAAAATGGTTTGTATTGCAATTAGGCAGTTTTTTCGAAAATGAGATTTATAATGCCCTTTAAAAAAATCGGCCGATCGTTTCCTACAACAGTCAGTTCTTCTGCATTTAAAATTGGTAGGTGGGTGGAATAAACACTGTTATTTTTTGTTATTATATTATAAAACGTTTATTTATTTTTATGTATAAATAAATATGTTTATAAAACAGTACAATTTTTGCCTTTTTTTATAATTTCCCTTATAATAGTAGTATTCTTTCTTCTGAAAGAAACTGCAAATTTTCACTTAAACTGATTTATTCCCTACACCACGTTCCCTTTACGTGGTATAGGGAATAAATCAGTTTAAGTGAAAATTTTCAGTTTCAGAATGAAAGAATACTACTAATAATGGCTAATTTAAATTTCCCCCCAGCCAGAATGTGCGATAATGTCTTACGATACGTTTTATACCTATCTCTTTCTTTTTCATATAAAGCACACATAATAAAGAAAGATAGCAATAAAGACGTACGTCCTGCCATGATCCTGCTAATTGGTTTCAAAATGGTTATTCTGAGTTGCGCTACGGGAACGCGGTCCTACTCTTTACCATGGGATTTGTCAGTCTCTTTTTATTTGTTTGTCTATGGTTTTACCTTATTAATTAAGTAATGGTTATCAGGTAGTAATTGTTAATTTTGAAGTTTAACTTGACATAATGTCATTTTAACAGAACGTCAACGGTTTTTGTAGACGTATCTGTTTAAAAAAAAACTAAAGTGTTCTCGAATTTCCCGCATTTCGCAAAGCTCTGAAATTATACTTACTGGAGAGAGCCCTATATGCGGTAAACGACTTTTTTGTTGATGTTTAATCATGAACAATTTTGAGGTTTAAAATTTTGATCATCTCACACACTGGTCAAAGGTCAAGTACAGTATTGGCCAAAAGTGGATGAACCAATACCAATAATTGCGAAGAAAATCAGATTTGAGGTGTTAAATATCAAAATTATTTTATGTACCTTTGTATGTTAAAAGTTTAATACATTCTCACCAAAATACTACAAACAAATATAAATTCTTCTATTAGTCTTATCAGTTATAGATAAGAATTGGCAAATATTGCTTTTTTGTCTTGGACAACAGTAAATGAGCCAAATATTTTTAAAAATCGTTAGTTTCATTTGTTCTGCTTTTATGAACAATTGCGATTTAAAAACATTTGAGCTCTTGTGATATATCATGCCACGTGGAATTAACTTGTCTGCCGATCTTAAGTTGCGAGTAGTGAATGCTTTTAAGGATGGTTTGAAGCAATCGGAAATCGCTAAGCAATTACGCCTTGGAAAATCAGCGGTACATTATATTTTAAAGAGATATAATGAGAGAGAAGGTGTCTCTATAAAAAGAAAACCAGGACGACCTAAAAAAGTTAGTCCCAATGTGATAAAAGCTATAAAACGAATTTCTTCACAAGATCCATTTTTGCTGTCAACGAAGATAAAAGCAAAACTTGAAGAAATGGGCTATCCACCAGTGAGTACAAGGACGATCCGACGTAAATTAGTTAACCAGAAGTTGTTTTCCCGAAGAGCCGCCAAGAAACCACTGCTATCAAAAAAAAAATTTGAAGACCCGATTAGCATTTGCCAAGGAACATCAAAACTGGACTGTGGCACAATGGAAAAAAATTTGTTTTAGTGATGAATCAAAGGTTAATTTGGTGTCATCAGATGGAATTCAACATGTAAGAAGACCTCCCAACACACGATTGCTACCAAAGTATACGCGACCCACTGTAAAACATGGTGGGGGCTCAATCATGGTATGGGGGTGTTTTTCTGGGTATGGGATGGGGCCTCTCCATAAAATTGAGAGCATAATGGATCGGTTTGGCTACAGAGACATTTTACAAAACCTTTTAGTGCCTTATTTGGAGGAAAAAATGCCAGTTGTACACTACTTCCAACATGATAACGACCCGAAACATGCCTCACAATTATTGGTTAAAAGGTTTTAGGAAGATGAAATGGTGACTGTTCTCAAATGGCCATCGCAATCCCCAGACCTGAATCCAATAGAAAATTTATGGGAAATTTTGGATCAACACATTAGGACCAAATTCTACAGAAATAAGCAAGAATTATTTGCAGCTTTGGAAGAGTCTTGGAAAAATATCGATTTTTCTATAATTGAAAATCTTCTGGGATCCATGCCTAAGCGAGGTCTGAAAGTAATTAAGAATAAGGGTTATTACACTAAGTACTAGTAAATTATAAGTTAATTTTACAGTTTTTGTTAACATAAGATTTTTTTTTATTAAATATATATTTTGTTCATTCATATATATACTTTTGTCCAATAGTTTTTTCAATTTAAATTTTTTGCTACCTTATTAAAGCACATTTTAAAAAAACAATGCTATTTATTTTTATAGCACTGACACTAGACTTCAAGCAAATATAGCTCAAATTTTAATTTTAAACACATTAGGAAAAACCCATTATTTTAACAAAGTTCATCCACTTACGGCCAATACTGTATATAAAAAATTTAAAATTTTGTCTCTTAAAATTACTCTTAAAATTATATCTATTTACTGCTTACAATTCTGCAATTGTGATTGTATTGTACTTTTTGTAATTATAATGACTTATATTTTTTTGAACTGTATGATTTGTATTGTGTATTTTTTGTTGTTTGTATATATTTTTTGTGCTTTTGTTTGTTTTGTGATTGCTTTGGCAAGCCGAGCATTCTAAACTTGTTTTCTTTATCTATGACTCTTACTTACCTATTATTGTGGCTCCACCTAGGGGCTCGGAGGGAACCAGCGTGTCCCAAGGCAGGAACGTCTGGAAGTAGCGACCTACCAAAGACTCCCAAATGCCGCAGGCCACCATACAGAAAAGGCACATTGATAATAGAAAAAACACTATCTGTAACACGAAAAAAACACATTAAATCGTAAGAATAGTTCAAATGTCCACGTCACAACTGACCCCTATGATTAAAAAGTTCAGCAGCCGGTCGATGCTGGTCCGTTTGAACTTGCTCTTGCCGCTGTTCTGCATCAGTTTGGTGTCTTTGCCGGCAAATATCACCACGCCGTAGCACCAGGCGGTGTTCCTCAGCACGCAGCCTCTCAATATAATCTGAAATCGAAGAGAAATTGACGTTTTGGTCAGTCTAAGCCCACGGCCACACAGAAAGCGTTTTTTGCGTTTTAAGCGTGAAGCGTCTTTAGCGACTAAAACAAAATAACAGGATTATATAGGAGTGGCCCCACCAAAACCGTGTAGCGTTCGGCGTGTCTCGCAAAAAACGCAAATGAAAACAAATCAGTTTGTTTTCTGTAGCGTCTTTAGCGATTTCTAAGATGAGACCCCGTCATAGGCGGACGTTATAAATATTTTTATTATTTATATTTTAACAGGGATTAAATTCAAAAATTTGAAGGAAATGTTTGAAAAAGTGTAGTTTGAAATGTTGAAAAAGTATATAAATTAAAGGATATTTTCTTACGCGTAAAAAATAGTTGTTATGCGTAAAAAGTGTTTTTTTCTGCGTAAAAATGGTATTTTAACAGAAACAAATACAGTTTTTTACAGTAAAAAATATTTTTTTTAGGTAAAAAAGTTTTTTACCAGAAAAAATAAGTTTTTGACACGTAAAAAAATAGTTTTTACGTGTAACAAATAGTTTGTTTACGTAAAAAATATTTTTTTTTTGGTTAAAAAAGTTTTTTTACCAGAAACAATAAATTTTTGACGCATAAAAATTAGTTTTTTACGCGTAAAAATTTAGTTTTTTACATGTAACAAATAGATTTTTACACGTAATAAATAGTTTTATACACGTAAAAATTAGTTTTCTACCAGTAACAAATAGTTTTATACTCGTAAAAAATACTTTTCTACCAGTAACAAATAGTTTTATACACGTAAAACTAGTTTTTTACGTGTAACAGTTTTATTCGCGTAAAAGAATAAAAATAGTTTTTTACTTTTTAGTTTAACAATCCACGACTTGTGACGTTATTAATTGACATCTTGATAGAAACTGCAGACCTGCCGCGTCTTTTACTTGTTTTTAATGGACACAAATCGAAAAAAACCCTTAAAACGGTAAATCGCAAAAAGCGCTTCAAACGCAAAAAACGCAAAACGCACAAAACGCTTTCTGTGTGACCGTGGGCTAACTCGTAGAATAAGTATTGATAATTTAATTGATTACAGACTGAGATTACAAAACAGACGGAGATTACAAAACAGACGATTACAAGACGGATGGAGAATGACCATTTTTTTTTCGATCATAAGGTACTATGCAGGGTTGGATAGGTAGAAAATTTTATATTTTCTACCGTCTTTTCTACACGTAAAAAATTAATTTTCTACAATTCCAACTAATTTTCTACATTTTTTACATGTCCAGATGTAGAAAATTAATTTTCTACGCGTCGTTACCCAACCCGGATACTATGTATTTCTTACTTTCTCGTTGTCTAGGGGAAACGTCTTGCCATTCCATACGAGAACACCCTCGAATTTGTTCAAAAGATTGTTCGGTTGCTCACAAATAATTTCCCCATTGAACTCGCTAAGTTTGCCATCGTCCTGTCCAATCTCGGCAGTCTCCACCAAACACTGACGACATTTTAAGTTCGTTTCCCTAGAAAAACGCAATTTTTTACACTTTGGTCAACCCTGACGTAATAAATTAATTTTTGGTCAACCCTGACGTAATATATTTTTTTTGTACAACCCTGATGTAGTAAAATTAATTTTTGGCCAACCCTGACGTAATAAATTATTTTTTACCCGTCCAATTCCGACGTCTCGATGTAGATGAGACCGTTAGGTTCGCTAGACGTGAGTAGCAGAAGGTCTGCGGCTACGAAAGTGTTGTTGTCCATGCGGATTATGTCGCCCACTTGGACAGCAGACCATTTCTCTTGGACCAGTTTACCCTCGCGCACGACCCTGGATTTTCGGTTGTTCACGTGCGAATCGGATATGTGGCGTTGCTGAAAACCAAAAAACATTAAATACTGCTCAAATGGGAACTACTTATAGATTTTGTTTTGTGTAGTCTGTTTTTGTTTAAATGGTTTGTTCATTATTCATGTTGGGGATTTATTTTTAAATTAATGTTAATTGTTAGGCAGCCAGTATTTCTTTTGCATAATCAAAATTGTCACTCTAAATCTTACATAACCGAATCATCAATTACAGGTCAATTACAAAAAATTCATTATTTATAGTGATTTACAGTAATTTTATTAAATTGTACAAATATTCTCGTTGATTATAGGTTAGAAATAAAAATGACAGCGTCCTCCAATGAAAATGCGAGTTACTAACTCTAAATTCTAATTCTGAGCTGGTAAATGAGCTAGATGCATTACCTAGATCGTTATTAAAAATAAATAAAATATGCATGAAATCAAGGTTGATACAGTTTTATAAAAAACTTACGATGTCGTCATAGGCGTCCTTAACCGCTGTCAGACCCAGCACGCCAATGAGAGGCAGTGCCGTGGTCACGGGGGTCAAACTGCTGATGGCCGGGATCAGTTGCAACACCAGAAGGCACAAGAAGTAGAAATTGGCCAGACGCTGGAACTGTTCGAACAGGTTCAATGGCAGGAAGGTCAGTATAGAGTATTTTGACGTCTTGATGAAATTGCTCTGGGGGAAAATAACGACAGGTTAATTTTCACAGGTTTTTTTACTTCAAACATATATAGATTACACTATATCGCTAGTCAGGAATAGAATTTGAAGGTAAATTTTAGAGATGGAGCTATACAAAATCCATATAAGCCGGTCGTTTTCGTTCAACAGCTTTGAACTACGCAAGCGTGAGAAGTGCTTCTCGATTAGTTGATTTATTTCATACTAACCAATAGAAGTAGTTTTATAAGTTTCGATCTACCACGTAAATCAATTTAGCGTAATATGTGGTCATCAGTTTATATTAGTTTATTAATTGCAGTAAAGATTATAATATATAAATACATTTTGTGATTGCAGATAATAATACATCACTATTAGTTGAATGTTTTTTGTTAAATTAGATCGATTTTCAAACCCCAAAATTTAAAATATATTTTACATTTTACCCATTATCTTTGTACCACCTATTCATTATTTGTATATTGTAAAACATTTGCTGCATTTGTATGGTTCATAGTTTATTTGCCAAAGTATTTATTACTATAAATAGGTATATATTATATTGAATTTATTAACTGTATATTATGTATATTTCATGTAAACTATATCATTTTTAAAATACAAACCAAAAATACGAGGAATAATTATGTTTTCCATGTATTCTACAACATATTTATTAATCCGTAGTATCTAACTAGCGTGACGTCATAAATCTCGCTCCGTGGCTGTTCTATTAGAGACGGCATTGGTCTAATATTTAGAAATATCAAAAGCTGATGACATTTTACTCTTGTCAAATTTTTGCAAGAAGAGGAAGAACTATCACTTGTTTTATTATTTTCCTTTTCTATTTCACGAAAGTAAAAAGAGTTACCTATCTGATTCGTTCAGGCACTCAATTTAAAGAATATCAGTAACTTTTTTGACAGAGGGATTTTATATTTGCCGTGTTGGTAAAAAATAACTGTCAAAATTCAAAGTTATTCATTTTATAGACTATACTTACGGCATATCGAAATTGTGAGTTGAAAATCCGATCATTGGCATGAATTCTTCTTTGATTATCTGGAAAAATAAAAATGTGACAACATGTATAAATATTGTTTCTATTAGATACCTATTATTTCTATTAGTACCCTAAAACATTATTAAATCGCAACACCGTGTATATTTAAATATCAAAGGAAAGATTATTTACTTTAAATGATTCAGATTCCCAGATTAAATTTAAAATATACAACAGTTAAGATATAACAGTTGTTAGAGTCATGACAAAATGTTTAAAAATAGTGATTCTTAGGAGTGTCTGTTTATCTATATTACCATAAATGTATATTTTCCCACAAATACAATTATTTCTTAGAAAAAACTAATTTTACATTAGTTTCCTTGATAAGATAATCTATTATAAAATCACAGCACTTATAATAAAAAACAATTTACTGTAATAATTTCAATTGATTCATTTCTTTTTGGTTGATGTAATTGTTGGGAATTGCATGGCCATTTTTTTGTTCTTAAAATACGTCTAACCCTGAAATCTCTCGTAAAATTGGGTGTCAAGGTCTATGGACGTTTGATTTACTTCATAACTCCGAGAATTGCTTTGTTTAAAGCTTGATTCGGAGTCAATTGGACTTTTGCGTCAGTTGCCGGCCTGTTGAAATAGAAAAAGTTTGCGATATTGATCATAATATAAAACAATACACCCGTTTGTTGTTCAAGACCAAATATTTAACACTGCTAAATATTCCATCGGAGACAACAAATTTGTTGTAAAACATGACTCAAATGTTTTTTCCTTAAGTCTTGTTAATGATGAAAAAATATGATTTTTTTTTATTTTAATAGAAATATTTATTTAAATCGGATTTCCAGATAATTAGGATTTATTTCCAACTAAAATCCTATCCTAAATGGCTAAATCTTCATAAATCTGCACTATAACAATAACAATATCAATTCTACAGAGCGTGTCACTTATACACAAGTAATATACACGTAAAAGTGCTTTACTTTTATGTCTAGGCTTAGCACAAAAGTACAAATAGTTTTACTAGGAGTAAAAATGACACTTTCCACCACAAAAAGTCATTTTTACTCCGAATAGAACATGCTATTTTTTTTTCAAGCGCCACAAATAATTTTTTAAATAATTTCAAACGTTCCAAATAATATAAAAAATTTAAAAGTAATACCTTGTATATAATTATATTATATCGAGACTCTATGGTTACGCTCGTTGAATTTGATACTTCATGTCAGTTTAATAATATATTTTCGTACTTTTGTGCTTAGGCCTAAAAGTGCTTTACTTCTGCTTAATATTTATTATTTAAAAATTATTTGTAACGTTTGAAAAAAAAATAGTAGGTTCTATTTGGAGTAAAAATGTACTTTTTGCGCCTCCCTGTAACATCGGACTAGCTTTAGGCTGGTCCGGTAGGAATTTCTAAAGAACTAGAAGATAAATTGGAGAAGGCAGAAGTTATCTTGATTAGCATACAGCTGTTTCAAAAAAGATATAAAACCGCATATTTTCTGACAATGATTATAGATTCTCGGGAATGAAGATATAGTCCAACATCAGAAGGGGGATCAAACTCTAGTTCTGCACCGGAATTTGCGAACGAGATGTATTCGAACATAGGAGTTTTGTCACTTGCACATACATACATTTCAAAATAAATCTCTGCCATTTAGAGGTCATTAATTTTTTTTTCTCTTGATCTTGTTCTCTCGCAGCCATAACAATCACATATTCTTGTACAAGAATATGTGATTGTCATGGCTGCCAGAGAACAAGATCAAGAGAGAAACAATATTTATTAAAATAAATCAGCTATACTTAAATCAGCTTAAATGGTTTAAACTTCATTAGACTTGAAGATTTCTTAATTCCCAACTTTAACACCATCAGAATTGTCTATTTTTACAGTAATAGATTAAATTTTGCAAAAATAATCATAATTTTGTCAAAAAAGTTGAAGAATATAGGAATTTACCGAGTGGTTAATTTTAACCGTGAATAACTTTTGAAGTAGTAGGTTTATCGAAAAATTGCAAGAGACCTTTTTTGTAGAGCGTTTAATTCTGTATAAGAATATCTAATTGTCATGGCTGCGAGAGAACAAGATCGAGAGAAGAAAAATTATTTGCAAAAAGTGGCAAAGTTTATTGTGAATATTAAGGGTTTACAATGATCTGTTATTGTTTTTTAAACAATAAACTAAAAATTTAGAGGGCGTAGTGAGAGAAATGATCAACTTTGTAAATAACGAACACCCTAGTATTATACAGGGACCTTTATACTCACCACAAGGAATGTATCCTCTGCGATAGTCCCTGGATGTATGAGGAGAGTCCAGTTTTTCAGGAACTTGGTACTTTGCGCTCCTCTTCCACACCCCTAGCTTACTGAACACATTCAGTATCGACTCTCTGAGACTCAGCGGTCTTCGCTCGGCACTGAGAACGCTGGATTTCGACCTGGCAATGTCGTTCTCGTTGCACTCTACGTTCGCCAGGCACTTCTGCACCTTGGCCTTCTGTTTGCACTTCTTGCGGTTGTGTTTGGACCGTTTTTTAGGTGGGTGAGGCTCAGTCTCATCGTACACTTCGAATACCTCAAGTTCAAAATCCATGCCTCTTCTTCTAGCCCTTTTACCATTTGTATGTTTGTTTATTCCAGTCTGTTTTATAGTAAAAGCCACACGACAACGATCGACGTAATGCAATTCACGGTGCAAGCGAGGATTTAAAAATTAAAAATACTGTTTTGATTTGACAGAAATACAATACAGAATCACAGAAAAGACGTTCACATTTCACGCCGAGACCAATGACTTCCTTCGTAAATCACACCCCTGGATTTAGTTCAACGTGAATAGGGCAAAGGACGTTTAAACAACGCGAAATTCCGAGAAAAATACTTATTTTCGTTTAAAAAATTTGGATTTTCTTGCCCAAAATTGTTTCGATTCCGCCATCTTTGATTCTTTTAAAATCAATGAACAGATGGCGCTATAAACGACAAACAACACCGGCAACCAACAATGCAGTGGTGCATTATGAGTTGCATAAGCCGCTAACAGGGGAAACTTGTGCAATTTTCGGTCGAAGAGGTAATATTTTCAGGGGAGACTCGTTTAAACCGGTACAAATTTGTAAAAAATCTAGAAAATATTACTTACCGATAACTTGCGATCTCCGAGACATCCGTAGAGATGTTCTGCCGCCCATTTTGTTAGGACACGAGGAATAGGATAAGAGGAACGAAATATAAAGTACGTTTTACAATAAATAAAACTAGTGGGACCAGCCCGTCATTTCTAAGTATATAATAAGGACACTTTGCAGTATAAATATACGGTATTACGCCTAAATTACGCTAAACAACTAGATCAGGTATAGATTAAGGCCACTTAGTACGCGTAAAAAATTCGTAAAAAATCGGGTCTAAGAATACAATTTCTCGAAATGCAAGAGGTAGTAGAAATATATTCGGTGTACGTAAACGATAAAAAATAAATAAATAAACTACGAATCTATCTAATATATAATCGCTAATATATAACGTCGTTTATGTTAAATTGTATTTTTTTTTTCTTTATAATTTTTTAATTTTTTCTTTAATAGTTTGTCGTTATAAAAGGCAAGATGCGGGATTGGAACAAAAATGGAGGGGGACGCCGCTGAGGTATCAAGGGGGGACTGGGAGGTAGGGCATTGGCGGCGCCTGAAAGCATACACCTAGCCATTTACTGTCCTGCAAAAAAAAGAAGAAAATAAAATTATTAATATTTATACAAAAAAAATAATTTAATTATTTTTTTTTGTATTGATCTTTCTATAATTTTCGTGTTAACTTTTGACAAGTTTTTATGTCAATTTTTAGTAAATGATATGACAGAAAATACAATAATTTGCCTGTAAATTAAAATGACAGACACGGCTGTCACTGTCAGGGATACTCTCGTCTGACAGACTACAGTCATGATTATCTTGTATAAAGGCGTGTGGTCAGAATATACAGGGTGAGCCTTAAATAAGTGCCAATATTTTCAGGGCTGGTAGATCTCGATAAAAGAAATATATTTTCTCGTTACCGTTTTTCAAATAAGAGATTTTTTGCTAAAATTTTGAGGACCATTGGATCTTTTCTGGATTTTCTTTCTTGTAAATTTAATCTACTACCCAAGTAGCATCTATCTGACTTCGAACTAAATCTGACCTGAAGCGACGTCAGACTGTGTGCAAATTTAGGTCGGGTGCTGGTAATACGACCTGTGACGTTGCTTTCCTATTAAAAGCGACGTCGTTGGATCCGAGTCGGTAAATCCAACGATCTGTCGACGTACAAAATAACAACGTACCATTTTCATTAATTTCCCAACGTCGTTCCCACGTTGGCTTGCACGACGTACATATACTTGAACTAGCCCGACGTCTACCCGTTGTCCGAATAGGATACGTCTCACTGCTAATCCCTAAAGTAACGTCCAATTATATTTTGTTGTATTTTATGTTCATATTTATAACCTAATTTACGTATCTCTATTTACGTCCGTAAATACAACCCATTAAGTAGCATTTGCGACCTAATGAACATCATGAACATAACCTAATAAAAAGTTTTTGTAAACAAACTTAATTTCTTTATTATGCCTAAAAAAACACTAAAAAGGCATTTAGACATTCATCTACATTTTACAGAAAGAGGTCGAGGCTTTTGCAAAATAATAATAGTAGTAGTGATCTCTTGCCTCCACCCGTAAATGCTTTTTATCCGGAAGAGATGCTGCATTACACTGGTGCATTACACAGGAAACCAGCAGACCCCATCCTCCTCCGACATGTGAGGTTAGGCTTAAAAAAGTGGCTGCCCATTTTTTTAAGGAGAAAACAAAAACTAAAATATAGTTACACAAATCCACAAATCACTGATACGCAAAGTGAGGTTACGTGGCGTACGTTGGAATTATATACGTCATAATACGATTGCCGGTCGTCCGGTTTGATGACTTCGGTCGTGTGAGACGACTAATGTTAGAGACCCGGTCGGAATTGGTATATTGGTAGTTCATATTAAGTCGGACACAGAAATCCGCCATTCTTAACACGTATCCGATTGTCAGCCATTTTAAAATCGTTTTTGTTTTTAAAATTTATATTCACATTTCGATTTCTAGTAGAATAATATTGATAAGGTTGAGTTTGGGGGAACCATAGTACAGTTTTATGATTAAACCAGCTAGAAAATTAAAAAAATATTTTGCGAGTTACTTTTTTATAGATATTTTTATTTCATAAATCTACCTAATTTTGAAGGCGCTCGTTGTTTTCCGGAGTATTTTAATCAGATATATCAAGAAAGTGACTTCCGTTGACAAAACTGATGTCTGGATTAATGATTCAGAATTATTATAATATGAAATTAGATAGGCACTTATAGTTACATTGGAGGAGTGATTATGAATCCATTTGTAATTAGGTAGTTTGGTTAGGTTTTTATGTATTCTTGGTAGCGAATATGAAACCAAACGTAACGTAAGTGCTTAGCGACGAATTTTAAGTAACTAAAATCCAACGTAATATGACGTTGGTAATTGGTAGAATTACATTCCCCATCAGGTCAGATACCGACGTCGAGGCGACCCGAATCTGTATTCCCCATTTGGGTGCAAATAAGGGTCGTTAGGCGGTCGAACCGACGTTGGTACCCGACGTCGGGTTTATTGAACGCGACGTATACCCGACGTTAGATAACGTCCAAATGCTACTTGGGTACCTATGTTGCCATATTATCAAGAAATTATGTTTTTTAACTAAAAACGAAAAAAAATTCAAAAAAATTCCCAAAAGAAACTCATAATCGTGTTTCTGGGGTCGAAATACTTAACTATCTCTAAAAATATTTGCACTTATTTAAGACTCGCCCTGTATACTGCAGAAAATGCTTGCACGCAATGCCAGCCGGTATAGGAGATTTACAGATATGCTTTATATGCTGCGTGTCATAATGCTTTCATTGACCTTAACTTTGCAGTCAGAAATCAATGGAACAGCGACCATAATACACAGGACGTCTTTTAAATAAATGCCACTACCGTGTGATCGAAAAAAAAACATCGTCAAAGACGGCTGGAGAGTGACAAACGATAATTTTAGCGAGGTCAATCTCTAGAGGTTGTTTGCATAAAATTGATAAAAGAACTTGTCAAAAAATAACAATAATTATATGCATTAGAAGTTTCTAGAAAACTACAATATCTAGATCGGAGATTTTTTGCACATCGTTGTTTCACAACGAGATCTATCGATTAAAAATATTTTCAATATGGCGACACTTCCGGAAATACCGGAAGTTGACAGCAACTTTCTTATTTTAAATGGGTGCCCCCATTTGTTATTACATACTTAAATTCTCTGTAAAATTCTATGAATTTTTTGAATTTGACTATACATGTTCCTATACTTAAAATAAATCGTTTTTAAGTTATACAGGGTTGTTCACCACATACGACACGGAGTATTGTAGCTAAACGATGAGATTTTTACAAATTGTAAGTTTTGGCTTCGATGAAGGACTATTAGAGGTACAATTTAAAAATATTTTTACAAGATACAGAGTGTCCCAAATAAATAAAAAATATCAAAGTTGTATTTTTTTAAATGGAACACCCTGTATATTATTACATTTTTAGTTTCTACGATAAAAATAAAGGTAAATTTGATGAAGGTTTATTATACTTAAACCTTACCGTTTTTGAAATATTTTCAATTTTGTGAAATTGCAGTAAAAATTTTAAAGCTTCATTTCTCCAAGGGTATCAATTTTTTTAATACTAAATATTTAATGAAGTTTATTTATTGATCAGTTATTGTGTTGCAATAATAAAAATAATACTACCTTATACAGAGTGTCTGTAATTTATTTAAATAATTATTAGCTTCAAACGGCAATAACTTATTTAATTTAAATGGAACGCCCTGTATATTTTAGGAGAATCAGATGCACAATTAAATTGTCTATCAAATTGTATTATACCATTTTTTACCTATCCCTTCAAGTTTTCGTAGAAAATGCATTTTCTTTTAATTTAGACCTCATTTATCAATATATCCATGGAATATTGACATTTTAGATTGTTTTTAAAGCAACAAATGTACAATAGTACAGATTAGTAATATTATCGTTTTTAGCAAAACGATAATATTATTTAGCCCATTTGTATGCAAAAAGAAAACTATTTAAATCTTTATAAAAGAGTATACCATTAATTAAATATAACACCATTATTTCCGCCCATATACTAATTAATGACATACTTAATTGTGTTCGTTAATAAATTATTATAAATAAATGTGGATTTGAGTCAGAAATCAATATAATAATAAGTTATCAAATTAAAGTCTCTGTTGTTATAAATAAGCATTTATTAAAAAAATGAAATATCATTTTTAAGGTGTTACTTTTTATCACACTGTCTAATGCCCATACAAAATTCAGTTTTTTAGTATTTGGAGCAATTATTATTAATCAACGCAAACAGTCAGTTAATGTAGTTTGAATACTGGGATCATATTAATTGGTCCTCTTTAACAAATATTTAAACAGTTTTTTTTTATTTTTTAATGAAATAAACGAATTATATCGACAATATTTGTATCTGTACTCTTTAAAAATTTGGTACATCTTTAAAAATAATCTAAAATGTCAATAGTCCATGGGTATATTGATAAATAAGTTCTAAATTACAAGCAAATGCATTTTCTACGGAACTTAAAGAGATAGGTAAAAATGGTATAATATAATTTGATAGACAATTAAATTGTGCATCTGATTCTCGTAAAATATACAGGGTGTTCCATTTAAATTAAACAAGTTATTGCCGTTTGAAGCTAATAATTATTTAAAATTAATTTTTAGACATTCTGTATAAGGTAGTATTATTTTTATTATTGCAACACAATAACTGATCAGTAAATAAACATCAGTAAATATTTAGT